GCATATTAGTGTAAATGGGGCCTGAGACTTTGTGTCTCAGCTTGCATGTGCAAGTCTGCAGCTAGATCTGAATGGAGGACTGTGGCATAACAAAAGCTCTGCTGCTTTTCTGCCTAGTAGTACTCATCCCATAATTGCTTTAGTGCTCTCATTTCAATTTTCACTGTTTCAGACTGCCATGACAATAAGTTTTAAATAATTTAAGTTGGAGTCCCATAGGAAGTAATGAAGATGAAAACTCCCATGATTCCACACTCAGTCATGGCCTTATCAAAGTACATCTTTGTTTGTTAAGAATATGCACAGCAAAAATTATGTACTATGCCTTTAAAGATTACACCTACAATATTGATGATGTTACAGCTGAGTCAAACAAATTCTTTGAAAAAGTTTGTTAAGCTGTCTAATTCATGCTGGATTCTGCAGAAAAGAAAAGAAATGTAAATTATGCTAAAATACAGGATCAAGAAAATGTTGAATGGCCCCTTTCACACATACAGACCTTTTCGGAAAATTACCGACAATTATTTTCTGAAAGGTCTGGATGTGTGAACAGGCTTTTGAAAACACCGGTTAATTCATTCCCCCTATTATCTGGAAAAAGAAGTTGTAACATTAAGGTAATTTGCCGAAACGCTGCACTTTGTGAACGCAGAAAGAAGATTGCCGGAAGATAGCGCATTCACTTCTAGAACATGCTGACGTAAGATGTCTTCTTTAGCCAATCAGAACACTCAGACACATTCACATCCGCGCGGTTTGTGAGAATTAAAGCCTGTGAATTTTTAAGAAGGAACATAGAAACGTTATCTGACTAACATCTAGCAAGATGTTAAGCTAACATTTCTATTTTCCTTCTTAATGCCAACTGTGTAAATAATTATCGATAAAATGCTTATGATAAGCCGTTGTTTGTTTACCTTCAAGCTCTGATGCGTGTGCACATAAAGCAAACCTGCCAACTCTCCCGTTTTTCATCTCCCGCCCATCTCCTATATGGTCCTGTCTCCTGGAAAACTCCCGGAATTTTCAGGTGTGAAATGTTGGCAGGTTTGACGTAAAGCAGCTGGTGAGCGCCAGCACACACACATATTATGAACATTGAAAGTGTTTCTCTTTGCTTTCATCAAAGTTGTTCACAACACTGATCCATTCACAGAGTTTGTAATGTAGTCAAATGTTTACAAATACAAGCGCAGCCATTTAGAGCTCATTTCTGTTTAATGTTGTCAGAATTTACCGGTATTTTGAAATGCATGTGTGAAGGCTCTTTTCTGGAAAAAAATCCATAACATCCTCGCCTGTGTGAACAGCGCTTTTTTTAATTTACCGGTAAAGTCGTTCCGGAAATTTTCCGGATACCGGTATCACGTTGTGAAAGGGGCTAAAACAGGGATCACCAAACTTGTTCCTGGAGGTCCAGTGCCCTGCAGATTTTAGCTCCAACCCGTATCAAATAAGTTGGAGCTAAACCCTGCAGAGCACCGGACCTCCAGGAACGAGATTTGTGACTCCTGGTTCAAAGACTATCTCTGAACTCCAGACAAATACAGCTGTACTCACTAGATAAACTACAGTACAGCCAAGTCAGAATCTGCTGCATTTCAGACATGTTATCTGGTATAGATTTCCCAGAGATGGGTTGTGGCTGGAATTGCATCCGCTGCGTAAAAACATGCTGGATAAGTTGGCGGTTCATTTCACTGTGGTGACCCCGGATTAATAAAGGGACTAAGCCGAAAAGAACATTAATGAATGAATGAATGAATATCTGGTATAGAGTCATCCTTGATTAACTTTACGAATACAAAACTCCAGGTAGAAACAGAAGAAAACAGTGAATAATGTCTTAAACCCTCAAGTAACCTTAAGCAAATATTGCCCAAGACAACCATACTGTGAATGACGATGAAGTAAAAACATAGCATTTTGTTTAGGTGTATGCTGGAGAAACTCATTAAGTATGAGTGAAAATGTTGATTGCTCTAGTCTTGACCCTTTCTTTCAGGGTCATTTACATGAGTCATGCACTCCTTTCATCTATTAGATCTTAAAATCGCAATAAAAAAGAAAGTGAAAAGAAGTAAGCCTCTCAGATCCATCATGGAACATAATGTTTGTTTATTTTACAAAAAGTCTCACGTGGATGATGATCCTGTACCTGTAGAGTGTGTAGTGACTTAAACCTTTCAGGGGGTTGTTTAATGAAAAGAAAACGTGTGGCAGATGTGCACGTGAATGCATGGTGAGTGCATTCAGTTGTCTATTTAGTCCTGAGGAAGACACGTTTACCCAGCAGGCTTTGATGACTTGGATTTAAATAAGCACAGGTGGTGATGATAACATGCTTATAAGTGCACTGTTCTTCATAACCAAATACACTGGGATCTAAGAGGTGCTTTTGTGTCCAACTTTCATCCAGACAACACCCAGTATGGCATAAAATGGGAAAAGGTAACTCTGGTTATATTTGTCTTATGCTCACTGGGTTGTGTATGAAGAAAATGCAGTGGAGAAATAAGCATGTATATGGAGAGCTTGTGCTTTTCACACGTGCTCAATAGGGGACGGATGATAAGCTCTTCCCCTGAGAGTTCTACAAATTAAGATCAAAATGCCTTGATCAGTGTTTCATCACGTACATGTTTGCGTGCACCATACAGGGCTCAAGAGAGGAATGGGACTGTATGACCTCGCAATCGACATAAACAGCTTTTTGAAAATGACAGCTGCAAGATATACAAAAATAGCAAGTAGTAGTATAGTGGCAAACGTAAAATGGCTGAAATAGAAATCATAAATGCAATATGCAAATAATAATCAGTTGATTTAGTAGATTGTCAATTCTGCTGGCAAGTATGTGGTCAATATTTGATCACAATAACGCACAAAGATGTTTCCATCCAAATTTTATAGGGATAGATCACCCAAATGTGAAAATCATTTACTCTTCCTCCAATAAACTTGTTCCAGTTTTTCTTCTTCTGTTGAACACAACATTATGAAGAGTGCTGGGGGGAAACCAGCCATTAATTGACATTAAATTAATAGTGTTTACTATGGATGTCAAAGCCTGCTTTTCCCAATATATCTTTAAGGACAATAAATAAAGTACAGTAATAAGGACAGTTAAGGACAGTAAAGGACAGTTTCCATACCATGTGTTCAAATAAATCATAACTCAAATCAGAATTTAGGAAACTATAGCTTCTTGACGAGAAAAAAAAATCTCAATACACACAAAGCTTAAGCGTACTGTATATCCTGAGGGAAAGTCTGATCACAAAGCATAGACCTGTTTTTAATTAGATTAACATCAAGCTGCTGCTAAAACTGGATGTTTGAACCGCTAATAATAAAGCACAGAGATTTACATTAAAGTTTAAGACTTAATAATGGTGGATTTGAATTTTTTTTTTTTTTTTTGGTTTATTTCAAGATAAAATCTCAAGTGTTTATAAGCAATCACAAAATTATGCAAGCTCTTGCAACATCAAAGTGTAAAAAAACACAAGTGGTCAAAAATAATATCAGCGGTCTATTGTTGATCATCATTTTGAATTCAACATTATTTGTTGTAATCTTGTGCTTACCATAATACCAATTTCAGCTCATATGTCCTTATGGTGCCCAACTTTCAAAGCAAGTATGGAAATTTCAAAGCCTTGTTGTGTCACATTCATTGATCTGGTTCTTTTCTTTGAAAGCCTCTGATTTACCAGAGCTAATGGTGTCAGCAAGCATCAAAGTCTTATTATGAACAGATCTGATCTATTCATCCCATTTCCAGCTCACTTCCTCTGCATCACCTCCAGTTTAAATTACTTCCGCCGTGCCCTTAAATTATTTTCTTATTTTGACTGGATTCTATTTTTAAAATAATGATACAAATCTTGTTTTGTACATTAAAACAAACAGTGAATGTGCTTGATAGGCTTTTTGGTGCGTTTCTTGCAGTACTATTTATTTTACACTACAACTACAAGTTCAGTCGTGATTTCCATGATGACAGTTGACGACTACTGAGATATCTACACTCACCGGCCACTTTATTAGGTACACCTTATTAGTATCAGTTGGACCCTATTTTGCCTCAGAGCTGCCTTAATCCTTTGTGGCACAGATTCAATAAGGTACTGGAAATATTCCTCAGAAATTTTGGTCCACATTGACATGGTAGCATCTCGCAGTTGCTGCAGATTTGTGATGAGAATTTCTCATTCCACCACATCCCAAAGGTGCTCTATTGGATTGAGTTCTGGTGACTGTGAAGGCCATTTGAGTACAGTGAACTCATTGTCATGTTTAAGAAACCAGTCTGAGATGATTTGTGCTTTATGACATGGTGCGTTATCCTGCTGGAAGTGGCCATCAGAAGATGGGTACACTGTGGTCATAAAGGGATGAACAAAGTCAGCAACAATACCCAGGTAGGCTGTGGCATTACACGATATTCAATTGGTACTAATGGACCAAAAGTGTGCCAAGAAAATATCCCCCACAGCATTACATCAACACCAGCCTGAACCGTTGTTACAAGGCAGAATGGATCCATTCTTTCATGTTGTTGATGCCAAATTTTTACCCTGCCAAGGCATTTGAGCCCACAGACCAGCGCTCACTGGATATTTTCTCTTTTTCAGACCATTCTCTGTAAACACTAGAGATGGTTGTGCGTGAAAATCCCAGTAGATCAGCAGTTTCTGAAATATTCAGACCAGCCAGTCTGGTACCAACAACCATGCCTGGTTCAAAATCATTTAAATAACTTTCTTCCCCATTCAGATGCTCGGTTTGAGATCGAGATCTGCAGCAGATCATCTTGACCATGTCTACATGCCTAAATGCATTGAGTTTCTGCCATGTGATTGGCTGATTAGACAGTTGCGTAAACAAGCAGTTGGACAGGTATACCTAATAAAGTGGCCGGTCAGAGTAAATGCTAATTAAGAGTGACTTTTAACAAAGGTACAAACAAAGACTGATTAAAAAGCACTTACCTCGTCCTCTTGACAGCTCCTTTTCTGGTTAAATGGGTATAGGCTACTTTAAATATTCCAAAACTGATTTCCGTGCTTTCGCTTTCGATATTCCATCTTTAGCATCGCCGATGTTTCTAAAAGTGACAAAAAATCAAATGTTTTTCAGGTTGCCCAAGCTAATGCACATGCGTAACTTACCCAAGAGAACAAATTCAAGAAGACGCTAACCTCCTGTGGCTTTTTTCGGAAGCGTCAAGTCGTCGTCCTGTCAATTATTATGTAACTACCCTAAGAATCAATAACTTACGTGTTACACGATGTTATCTTCTTGAATGTCACCATCTAGTTCCACTGGTCTTCTGGGATGATTTATCAGTTATTCCTGACGGAAAATGATCCCACAATGACAGCGGCCTCTTTGTTTACAAATTGTCTGGGCCTTCATGTAGTTTTCGACCATCATGTGATTATGGCGGAAGGGGAATTCATTTAGAAATAAAGTAGCCTATCGACATTTTTAATAAAATGTACATACACTTTAATTAAGTGTAATTTTTATCTTCTATTTCATATATCTTTCACAAATTTCAAGGTATGTCTAAAAATATTCAGTATTATATTTTCTGGCCATAAGAAAAACAATGATTCTGTGATTCATATAAATTGTTAGACGTTAAAGAGCATTCAAGAAAAAAAATATATTTAAATCAACAGAATGAATTGTAGATTTTATGCCACTCTAGCATACAGTATATTAACAAAAAATGCAAACCTCAGATAGTTTTATTTATAGGATATATAGATTTGACTATCATATGTAATATTTAGTTTACCTCATCCAATGCCAGAGAAATGCAGAACACGATTGTGCATATCCATATCATAATGATCAGATGATTTCTTAACTGTTCTTGGTGTGTTTATTTTGTTACATTCACTGAACATTCTGAAAAACAGTAGCTACGTTTTTGAAGCATTAGATTAACGGTAAAAAAGTTCAATGCCTTAAATATTTGCACATTATTAAAGACAGATAATGAAAAATCTAATCAAATTTGTGGAAGATCAATTATCAGAAAACGGCATCATGCAGTTCTTTTTGCTATCACATTTTCAGAAGAAAAAGAGAAGAAAAGAAAAGAAAAGAAAAGAAAAGAAAAGAAAAGAAAAGAAAAGAGAGACCCATTACTACATTGCTGTGAGTTGATTGCTCTGGGGACTGCTCCATTTCACAGCTCATTTTACCAAAGGATTATCTGATTATGTAACTTCTCATTCAGATGCTGTAAATGCACATACAAGCTGTAAACATGTTAAAAATAGGAAGTGTATCAGATCATTTGTGTCAGTCATCCCAGTAAGTTTAGTTAACTCACACAGTTAAGTCAGCATTCAGTGTAAAAATTACATTTCTTCCTTACTATCTTCGCTCATTTTCCACTAAGAAATATCTAAATATCTAAATCAAGATGCCTACTTGAGAAGCAAAATGACAAAATACATTAGATGAAAAATCATGTGAGAAAAATCCACTTGTTTGCATTGCAATTAAGTTTTCCTTAACAGGCTAGAAGACCTACTGTAGGTTTATTATTTCAGAGACTCAAAGGTACAGTTCACCCAAAAATGAACATTTCCTCATCATTTCTTCACACTCTATTGGTACTAACTGTTTATGGATTTATTTTTACCTGTTCTGGAAAAAGCAAGACAAAAAATACAAACATTTTTTACTATTATTTATTTATTTCTGAAGTGCATAGTACTTTAAAGAGCATTTTCTGGGTCACAGTAACCATTTCCTGTAGTGTCTTACCCTTTAGTGGAAGACAGTCTTTTTAAGGTCAAGGCATTATTGATAAGAAACTAGCAAGTACTGTAGGTGAATGTGTTGGAGCACTAAAATTTTGATTGAACTGATTGAATGGAAGGCAGAGGCACCTTCACGTGTGGCTCAGTGGTGTCATGGGGCTTTACTCAGAATCAAATACAGAATCGTGCTCATAATATAAACGTCCTCATGCATGCATGCTGTCGGACATACATTGTTTGGTTTCTCAGAGGACACGTGTACCAAATCTTTGCACAATTGATGGAACACGTGTGCATTGATCCTCTCAAATTGATCTAACACTACCTGAAGTGCAGCTCCAAAGTATTGCAGCATTTATGTAAGCTACATTAGAGAGGAACCCAGTTTCTGCTCTGACTGTCGGTCAGAAAGGAGAGTGATTGTTATCATTTTCCTCTGAGCAAAAGCCATTTTGAGAAACATCTTCGCTGACCAGACCTCAAACTTAAAGTGTACAAGGGCTTGAACAAAAGGCATCGGTTTTTCACATTTACACATCAGTGATGTAACAAAAAAAACTAAAGGGAAGAAGGATTTGAGGGGGAAAAAAATAGGTGATAACAATGTTGTCAAACCTCAGTCAGATGTTCAAAATGTGTAGTTTTTATTGTTTTCAGAAAGTATAATTGTTTTAAAAACTTCAATTTTGAAACACATTTTTGTAAATGAACTACCAAAATACAGAAAATCCCATTTTTAGTTTTTTGAAACTCTCATCGTGTCCCACTTGCTGATGAGATAACATCAATTTTGGGCTATAACGCGTTACTTTGACAGTAGCTAATACTGTTTCGCATTACTTTTTGAATAAATTCGACTCCGTTACATTACAATATGCGTTTGTCAGTTACTTTGTAAATTAATTAATTTTGGCTGCAGTCTAGCCTACATCTTCCTGTTTACGGTGACACATTGCACTATTAACATTACTATTATTAATTACTACTAATACTAATACCACTGTTTGTTGTTTCAAATAAATAATGTGTGCCATTTGTTATCTGTAAAACAAAATTGATTAGTTTATTAGACACAGTGACACATTTCTGTTATATTTCAGAACACGTTATTTAAATGTATAGTGTCATATTGCTCAGAAAAATGCTGTGATTTTTTGTTATGTTTTACATATTTATAGCTGTTATAACAGCAGATATTGTACTTTGAATATACAGTACTCAGCTTACTTGTCATAAGTTGTTGACATACCACATTTAATTTGTGGTTAGTTTGTAAAATTGCTGATAGATTTCATTTTTGGGCAGCTGTTGTGTTTCTGTTTTGTTTAAAAAGCATAAAATGTATGGTTATCTATAATAGCAGTTTTGTGGTGCCGAGTGTCACCTAATTGATTCTGAATGATAATCCAGATTACTTTCACTTATTAAATAAGGTTTTATGTTTGTTGTACTATATAGTGTCGCTATTTTCATACTCAAGCTGTGTATGAACATGTTTAAGGGTTAAATACATGATGTTTACGACGTTGAAGTAACTTTAGTTTTTGTTTTGTTTGTTTCTTTCTGAATATATTACTCAGCTGGTTTATCACCTTGTGATATCTTTATTTTTGTGCTGCTGGTCTGACTTAAATAAATTAGTGTTTAAAAATGACCTTTTTGTTTAAGTCTGTATTGTGTTTTAGTTGTGAAGCTGATCAATAGTGTATTCTCCATGCAGCACTGAAGTGGTTATGAGGGCATTAATGGGAGCATTAAAATGCTCTTTGCAAAAGTAACTCAAAAACTACTTTTAACAGTAGTGCATTACTTTTTGGTGTGAGTAATTAATTAAGTAATTGAGTTACTTTTTGAATGAAGTAACTATAACTAGTTACTATTTTTCAGTGTGTAGCCCAAAATATAACAAAACTTACAGTAATAACTAAAGTAATGTCTTAAGGGACAGTTTGAAAAAACAAAAAAAATTAATTTTGCCATTATTTTACTCTTGTTACAAACCTGTTTAAGTTTCTTTCTTCTGTTGAACACAAATGAAGATATACTGATGAATTAAGAAAAGAACACCCATTCACTTCCACAATATTTGTTCATTGTGTTTCAGTCAGTGCAGATTTTCTCTTCATTCTTCATGATATTATTGTTTTTGTGTTCAAGAAAGAAATTTATAAAGTTTAAAATTACTGAGTGTGATTTATTACGTAAACTTGGGTTTGAGTTAATCTGTAAATGTACACAAACTACACAAGGAAAAAAACGTACAATATTAATTGCATAAATCTATCAAAAACTAATCAAAACATATTTACCTGTTAAAAAATCTGCAACCAAAACCAAAACTGTTGTATTGTTACTTCTATTCCACTATGAAATAGCTAAACTCTGTTATATTTAGATTTTTTGGTCAAACATTTAGCAAAAACACGATAGCTACATCTGTTTTCCTTGTTTTAAAACTACAGCACTCAGGCTTAAAATGACAGTTGTGGGTGCAAAATATAGTAGTTAACATTTAAAGTGAATCAAAAAAGTTTATCAAAATTGTCCTATGAAAAGAATGGGTGTTGTTCAATAGTTTTAGGACAACTTTGATTAAAGGCATTGATCCACTTCAAATGTTGACTGTAGTTATCATCATTATATTTATTGTTCCAGCTAAACAGCGCTTTAATTTTTTTCTTTTCCTCATTTTCCTCTGCCTGTTTGCCTTTTACTCTGCACAGCATCATCGGACACGCTGATGACGTGTGACTGTCTGTTCAAGCAGGTGCATGAAAGTATACGATTACAAAAATCTATGCAATCAACTACAGTAGCTTTGCATTCAAGTAGGATGCCATATGATTGCATTCAGACAGAGTCAGTAATTGAATTCCGTGATTCATACAACAACAAACACATGTTATGTTTCCGAGCCTTCAACAGAACATCGTTTAGAGTTAAGTCATTTTCTTTGTTGATTTCTAATAGGAAGAAGAAACTACAATTAAAAAAAAAAGTTACTGGAGAAAATTGCTCATCTTGACCTGTTGTTTTCTGATAGGATTATTCTTCACATACTTTGAACATGACAATATGAAAGTAATCAAAGAAATTTTTTTTCAGCCGAATGATCCCTTTTAAAGGTGTCAATGTGTTAAATCAACATTAAATTGGGTTTTGATATCTACATAGCACCTGTGTGCAGCTTTGGTAAGTGTAAAAGTTCTTCAAATTTTTTTTTTAAGTGGCGTTTCACAAACTAATTTCAAGAGGAGCACATGATAAGATTGATCACGGCCATCTGTAATCATCAACAAGCCAATCGGATCATTCCAAACTCAACATTAAAGTCCCTTCCAACATTACTCCCTTAACTTTGTTTTTTTGAGGAACCCCCCCATCCACCCCATCTCCTCTTTTCTTGATTAATCCAGGATTGGGTGACTCAGTGACCCAGTGGTTAGCACTGTTAGCGAAGCAAGAAGGTTGCTGGTTCAAGCCCCGACTGGGTCCGTTTTCATTTCTGTTCGAGTAGGTTTCCCCTGGGTACTCTGGTTTTGTCCCACAGTCCAAACACATGCAACATAAGTGAACTAAATTAACCAATAGTAACAGTATATGAGTACTTATGCTGAGCTCCAACGCATCGTTATGCAG